CCCCAAAACCCCAAAACCCCAAAACCCCAAAACCCCAAAACCCCAAAACCCCGTTTTCAAATTTAATAATTGAAATTATTTAAATATGAAACAGAACATGATGTGAGTGTTTTCATCGACCTCTTTTGAGATTACTCCTCTTAGTTTGCTCTAAAATTGTCCAAATAATTCTGAGATATCTATAGGCTAAAGTATTGAATGCTCTTTGTAGTAGCAATACTTTTCCTGACTTGCTGCAATGCAGAGGAGGAAAAGGTTACAATTGAAGAGTTCAACAATAAGATATTCTGGGAAAAAGATCAACAGGGAATGGTTGAATTAGATTTGTTTTTTGACAATATTACAGACTCCATGCTCATTGCTGCAGTAGGGGATCTTGATGGAGACAAATTTACAGATATTATCACTGTTAATTCTGAAAGAAGTGCATTTAAAGTATTTCTTTATGACAAAAGGACAAAGCATTTTATTTATACTGAAAAGGAGTTTCCTGCTGAATGAATTATTGCTAACATTCAAACAATGCCTCATAAAGGAGGTTTACTTGTAACATGTTCAAAACCTGAATCAATACTTAAAGTCTATTCCAGTGTTGGAAATGGTAAGTGCCATTGGTTTTTTACTAATTCTTGGTACAAAGAGTGATTAACTGAGTATAGACCCAGTAGATTTTCAGGAAAATAAAAATAAGAGAATTAGCATACAAAGGGGGAACCAGCCCTTTATTGCAGATTTTAATGGAGATTTTTACCCAGATGTTCTTTACCAAAGCTCTGATGGGATAAAAATTGCATTTAATACTGCTTATAGTGAAGATTTAATTATTGAGGATTTTGATAAATACATTAAGCAGAGAGGAGCAAATAGAAAATGACTTGAAATTGATTCTTCAAGACATTTAGCATCTCCTGGTTCGGTTGGATATGTAGATGTGGATGGAGACTGTGTGGCAGATCTGTTAATGACTACCAAAGATTCTTCAGGAAATTTATATCTGGAAGTGTACATTAGTATTCTTGGTTATAACGAGAATTTAAAAGACAACTTAAATTTCTCAACAAGATACTGTCTTGTCAAGAAAGCGCCTCTTCCTGATGGAATAGATCCTACCTTATTGTTTGCTGATTTTGATAGAGAAGGAATGATAGATGTTCTTGGATTCTCATCAAAAAAGAAAAGTATATATCTTTTCAAAAATGGCTTAAAACCAAGAAGCAGTAATTCTGATAACTTATGCCATCCAGCAAGTCATATCGAAGAAGATAATGAAATATTTCCAGGTCTAGATGGCTCAAATACTATGATATCAAATGATGATGTAACAGTTAATAGAATAGTTAAAATTCCTTATTTCAAGCAATTGCATGGTCATACAGAACTGTTCCCTCCCAGACTTAGATTTGGAGACATTGATTCTGATGGGTATCCAGACTTAATAGCCACCTTTGAATTATCAGGTCATAATGCCTTTGCTGCTGTGCTCAACAATGGAGAATGCAAAAATCCAAAAGCCCAAAATTGAAAGAAAGGAGATAGAGTTTTTGAATACGATCAAGAAAAATACAACGAAGCCCTTAAAAAGCACAATGATGTCAATTATGCTTTCTTCTTTGATATCGAAGAAAATGGGAGCCTTGATATCATACTTTCTGTTCATGATGTAAACGAAAGGAAGGATAAAATAATCCCTCTTATGTCAAATTACGACCAAGATTCTTTCTATCTTAAGGCTAAGGTAGTCAGACATACAAATGCTAAAAATGATATTGTTCTCTCTGGAGCAACAGTCAGAGCGTCCTTTACTCAACTAGGAGATGAGAAATATATTCTTGTTGGAACCCAGAGAAGTCAAGAGTCGTATGCAAATCTAGGAGTTTCATACTCATATTTTGGAATTGGAAGATCGAATAATTATATTGAAGCGTTCACAGTTGGAGCTATTATATATGGCAAAAAAGTAGTAAGAACATGGACACCTATCATTCCTAACTCACAGCTCATTGTATCAACTCAGATGAGTCAAAATCCTGATGATTGGGATGTTGAGCTACTTGTGTGGCCAACAAAAGCTATAAATATTTTAGTTGTAGTTATCGCTCTTTTCTTACTGGTCCTAATTCTGCTGATAATAATAATGCATTTTGCTGAAAAATCTGAAGACGAAAAGATGCAGGCACAAGCTTTTGATTATTTCTAATCCATAAACTTATAATTCAACTAAAATCAGGGATTATGGGGTTTTGGGGTTTTGGGGTTTTGGGG